TATATATATATATCCCCATTTCAAAGAGGCACTCTGTGGCTTGTGGCTTTTAAAGACTTCCCTCTGTAACCTGCCTCCTGTAACAACCAGCTAATTATGGCGGTAACAGATCCTGCACAAAGATGCTGCCTGTGTACTTTGACGTCTTGGCACTGCCAGAGGACTGGAGCAGTGTCCTCCGCGGCTAGTTTTGAGCTTTGCGATCAGATGGTAAGGAGAAGTTTAAACCGTGGTTTGTGTGAATGGAGGACTGTAGTATCCGTGATGATCTTTGAGGTGAGACAAACCAAACGGTTTTACTCAGCATCATCACAGGGACCTGCAGCCAGAGATGCTAATGCTGGTTTCAAAAAGCCTCTGACACCCAATATGCATTTTGGGGAATAAAAAAAAAAAAAGAAAGAAAGAAAACAATCAGTGATCAGTCCTTATCACCTTTGTGTGATGGCCCCGTCGCTTTCTTCCTGTCGCAGATCACCTTAACATCCGGGCCAGAAATTTTGATTTCCAGCTTTGTCTCACAGTAGCATATTCAAAATCATTTGTTTTGTATATGTAGAGTCTATAATTAGAATTTCTGCAGCACCTTTTTTTTTTTTTTTTTTAACAAAAAGGTGCTGAATTTTATTCAGGGTTTGCAGAAACAGACTGTGGGGAAATCACAGTTACAGCTTCCTCTGCAGCCTCAGATCTGGCCTCAGCACAGCTGCTTATACAGCAGCTACAGACACACACACAACATGGACACGCACAAACCTCCCCTTCCACCCAACGCTGCTTTGTAAGACTCTCTGGGGATTTCTGCTCTGTTTTCAGCATGCAGCACCCGGTGTGCCTCTGCGACTGCCGACGCTGGCACCGAAGAGCGTTTTAATCACATTAACCTGGGTCAGTGGCTTGCCGCACTTTCAGCCGTCCCACTCTGCGGTGTTGCCCACTTGAACATATTCAGTGGGAGGACACAGACCAGACAGAAATATGTGGATGTGGCCCTCTTGTGAGCGCCAGAAACGATCCGCCCGGTCATCTGTCTGTGTTCACAGAACATGCTGGGAGTTGTTTG